ATATATTATTTTATGGATTTAAGCACATTTTTCTGAAAACCAATCACAGGATTATGGTTGTGGGGAAAATAGGAAGAGAATCAGATATATTCACCACCTTGGGTTATTTATAAGAAGTATTCATTATGTTTGCTACCTTGAGTTGTTTATAAAACAATAAAGGTGGGATAAAAAATCTAAAATATTTTTTTTTTAAATTACCACAAAGAGATTGAGAACCCCTGATATAGAATCCTCTAGATTGGAGCAGGATCTTTCAAATAATGCTTAAGGAAACTTTAAATATTTGATCAAGATTGGAAATAACATTCAACTTTGGGGGAAAGCTTAGGTTACTTCTAATAAATACATTTATAAAATACAGACAGCCATTTGTCCGAAATGGTATAGGGTTTCCTGCCTGAGCAGGGGGTTGGACTTGATGACCTCCAAGGTCCCTTCCAACTTTATGATGATGATGATGATAATGATGATGATGATGATGATGCTCTTCTAAAATGTTCAGGGAATGTTGTTGGGGTGCAGTCCTAGTCCAGTATTCCTAGTCATCTGGATTGAGGAGAAACCTAGAATATTCCTGAAAATCCCTTTGGAAAGACTTCACAGCCTGGTGTGCCCTTCTCATGTTGTATTACAGTGATCACAATTCCTGGATAGGAATTGCTCTGACTAGCTGATTTTCAAAGGTGGCCCACATAGACTGTATAAAAAGACAGATTCTATTTTTGAAGTCCCTTCTGACAATGTCTGCTGAAAAGTGATAGCACCGTTCCTAGCCATTTTGGGCTAAGAAACAGATTTTTATTTATTATTTGTTATTTTTACAAATTTCTCAAAGCGGTGAGGTGAACATACCCATCATATCTTTCTCCTCCTATTTTTTCCACAACAACCATGTGAGGTGAACCTTATGAGGTGACTGGCCCAAAGTCACCTACCAATTGACTTTCAGGGCCAAGGCAGGACTAGAACTCATAGTCTCCTGCTTTCTAGCCTGGTGCCTTAACCCCTAGGCCAGGGGTAGGCAACCTTGGCTCTTTTATGATGGCTCAGGAATTCTGGGAGTTGAAGTCCACAAGTCATAAAAAAGCCAAGGTTGCCTACCCCTGCCCTAGGCCAAACTGGCTCTGTAGAAATTGATGGAAATTGTAATTTAACCTGGCATATTGCAGTTCCTCCCAATTCATCTCCACTTTATGTGTAACATGCCTGAATCCTCAGCTTTCCCAATATTAAAGGTTACACATATTTTACTCTTACCATTGACTGCTGTTGCTGTTGGCTAAGCTGATTATGGTTATTTCTGTTCTCTGTTCCAGAATTAATGTCATGGGGACAGTTAAATTGATGCAGAAAGTTTTTTGGTTTTTTTTTTGAAGATCAAACCTCTGAAAACCACCCTAATAAAATTACATGCTGAGTTATTTATTGTTACTATGGCCAATGTTAATGACACAATCATATTTTTAAATATTAATCAGCTGTTGTACAGGCAGTCTCAAATTTGTTCCCAAAATGAAATGCATTATAATGGAATCTTCATCTACTTAACAAAGACTTCTGATTTGCATAGGGCGTCCAACATTTAATGAATATATACAGAATTAAGAGTTGAACAAGGTGTTAACACATTCATCTGCTGTTGTCAAAGCTGTGACTTGCTATATTCAAAATCCCTTTATCCACACATCTACACATACTGCAACATCAAGGGAGTGTTAAAATTCTCTTTAAACTTCAGCTGCACCTATTAAAACATCTTCAAGGTTACCCTGAGATTTCCTTGTGATGAAAGCCCCCCAGATATTTTTCTGAGAAGATTTATTATGTACATTAGACACAATGTTCAGCCATAAAATCTAGGGACTTTGAAATTTTGACAAGCTTTCCCTTACCCTGGTAAAATTAAAATATGCATGTCTTGAATGTTGTCATAGAAACATAGAGGGAGTATGAAAATAAGTGAATGTGATGAACAAGGATAATTTATATTTTCACCCTGCTTACCTCACACATTGCAAATATAAATCATCCAATTTATGAGGGCCATGTCAAGTTTTGTCTGGAAGCGTTGGATCAGTTTGAAGAATAATTGTATTTGGCTGCAATTAATCCAGACCTGGGCCAACAGATCCAAATTAATCAACTCCAAGAACAGTTCAAATTAAATTGTTTCTTGATAGTTTACACATTAATTTTTCTTCATAATGGATATTTTATTCTTTTAACAAGGTTTTGCCACAGTGCCTTTTCTCTTAGCACTGTGGTGGCAAATCTACGGCACGCGTGCCACAGGGGGCACGCGGAGCCGTCTCTGGTGGCACATGAGCCATTGCTGGGCTGAGCTGCTCCCTCCTCCTCTCTGCGCATCCGCAGCTCTCCATGCATGCATAGTGGTGAGAGGCTGTAAAAGGAGCAATTTTCAGTGGAAGCAGCATTTGCTGCAGACAGCGAGAGAGCGAGCACGAGTCGGAGTGGATAGCGAGCGAGCACGAGCTGACAGCCATGCCCACCCAGCACCCAGCAATACATAAGTGGGTTTTGGGTTGCAGTTTGGGCACTCGGTCTCTAAAAGGTTCGCCACCACTGTCTTAGCCAGTCCACCTTTAGTGTCGAAAGAAGTTATTCAGTATGTGACTGGCATAAGGTACAGAGTGAGCTGCTTTATTTTAACTAATGCTTACTTTACAGGTTTAAAATCTACATGTTTTCCCAACATCTTTTCTAGCCAAGTATGTATTTTTTTCCAGTACCTCTTTGCTTCAACACATGTCCACCATACAGGATAATAAGTACCTGACTTATGTTTACATTTCCAACATCTATCTAACATTTGAGACAGCCAGAGACATATTGTCAGAAAGTTAGGGTGTTCTTTGGTTGAGGTGATGAACTGGGAGACCAACTTCTTTTAAACAGGGAAGTCCAATGGCCTTGTCCGGTTATTGCTTGTCAACTCAAAAGCAACATCAGGTTCTATGAGATGTTGAAGAACAAAACCGTTTATCTATCATACTTCAATGGCTTCTCCCTGTGAATTATGCAAGGTCCTTACATCAAATGGGGCAATTGGTTTAGAAATAAAAAAGGAGGGACCCAAATAGTTTGATTTACAGTATTATATGATAGCCTTTACTCTTTTCTTGCCAATCTTCAGAAGCTCCACGTTAAACAATGCCTGTACTTGGTAATGACTCTAGGTTCAAGCTACAGCTTTGTTAGTGGTAGTGTTTAACTTCACTTCTAATTCATGGCAGTTCTGACGGTAATTCACCAGAACTAACTTTCAGGTGCATCGTAAGGTTACCATATCTAAATTGCAAAGACTGAGCTGTCCCCTAGATGGCAGCAAAACTCAGCAGGTCAGATCAGATGGCCCTGGAGTAAAAATGGAAGTGAAAAAACGATTAGTTAAGAGTTCTTTGCTCCAGCTTTTCCATTAAAAAAATTGGATACGGAAGGAGGGGAAGGGAGATTTAAGGAGGTATAATTCACTAGATGGCAGTGTTTAACTCATGTTCCTAAAAGCCATACTTCATGCATTTCCTGGACAGCTGAGGTTATCCTAGGCTAGCAGAATTAAGAATTATATGAGGATGTATCTTATAAAAAGGTTTGCTTAGAAGCTAAAGAGGAGGATAAAACTGTCTTTAGAGTTTCTATTGTTGTCAAAGATGTGCCAAAGTCCAAAAGTTAAAGCATCTTTAACTTTTACCATTTTTACCATCCTTCCGAGGTAGGTAAAATGAGGACTCAGATTGTTGGGGGCAATGTAAAATATATATATACATTGCTTACTGGTGTACACCGCTTAGAGAGTGCTTGCACTTAAAGCGATATATAAGTCTCATAAATAAATAAATAAATAAATAAATAAATAAATAAATAAATAAATAAAAATGTAAGTAAAATACTATCATGGAAAAGAGTTAACTAGAAAGATTTTCAGTTGACTTTCCAACTTTTTTTTTCAATGAAAGTATTCCACTTACATTCCTAAGTTTATAACTTTTTTTTTAAAGTTGCACTACTGGTTTCACTGCTCAGTAAATTGAAAATAAATATGACAGGCATCCAAGTACCAGTTATAAGTATTGGCTCCAGAAATATCATCTACCCTTCTACATAAGTGCTTCTCCCATTCCTTCCTTCCTTCCTTCCTTCCTTCCTTCCTTCCTTCCTTCCTTCCTTCCTTCCTTCCTTCCTTCCTTACTTCCTTCTTTCTAATATTATCAAAGAATCATAGGTCACCATTTCCATCATTTAAACTTAGGGTGCAGTTTAAAGCAACTTCAATAGATAATTATCCAATCATTTAGACTATAAGGATAAATCTGTGTTGTACTGTTATCCTCCTCTCCAGATTTAAACTTTTTCCATAATTTCCGAGGAGGAGTTGTTGAGGTGATAAGTAAAACATTAAGGTAGAAATCTTAGTGAAACAGCAAAACAACAAAGATCAAATATTTTTCACTTCATTTTTTGAAAGGTTGTATTAGTCCAGATGGCTTAGACACCATGACCACTATGGAGAATGAGAGTAACCATCTATCATATCTGAAAGGCTTCACATTGTTTTTTTAAACACTTTAATTACACTGATTTCTTGTAACTCTGAATAATATAGGAACACAACAGCATTCTTTTAGGATTTTAAGTTTGGCTTTCCCACCATGTATCTCTTTAATGAACTATTAAATTTAATGGGGTGCAGGGTGGTTAAAACAAAGTTAATCCCATAACTTGGGGAGATATTATTTTATGCTTGTTTCCTGATCTTTTCCGTTCTCACATGCTTTGACGTTGGATCTTTTACATTACTGTTTCTCTTTCTCATGTTAATAAATACTTGGCAGACACCTGAAAAATATCAATAGTATCCTTTAAGGTAGTCTACTCAAAAATAGAATTACTTAGAAAAAGTAAGAACAAAAGAAGGAGCAGGGGTGGTAGGAAACTAGCAGTAGCTCCTACTGAGATAATTGACAGGACAGCATGTCTATCACACCAATATTGCTTTTCAGAGTTTATTGCTTTTCAGATGAATTCCATGTGAACACTGGAAATTATTTATTTTTGGCAAATAGCTTTATTCATTTCCAAGAAACAGACAGCATTATTTACATGTGCATTTTCAGTTTTCCTATTCCCCCCATAAGTCTTACTATTCTGCTTCAATAAAAGATAATGACATTAGCAAGTATTGTGGCCCCAAATGACAAAAGGAAGCGCAGGACCATATTGGTTGGAAACATGTGAAAGAGGCCTTCATCCTGCAATGGGTAGACAATGGCTAAAACGATGATGATGATGATGATGATAATAGAATATTTGTAGCTCGGGGTTGAAATGAGGGGACCTTGGTGGTCTCCGAGCTTGGTTGTTTTCTTGCAGACGTTTCGTTACTCAAACTAGGTAACATCATCAGTGCTATTAAGTAATGAGGTTTGCTCTCAGTTTCTATTCTGGTGGTTTGCCCTGTCCGTGTGGGTAGGGGGTCTTAGAGTTTCTTTGGCTAGGCCAGGGGTAGGCAACCTTGGCTCTTTTATGACTCGTGGACTTCAACTCCCAGAATTCCTGAGTTGAAGTTCACGAGTCATAAAAGAACCAAAGTTGCCTACCCCTGGGCTAGGCTGTTTATTGTTGGCTAGTTTGGCAGTTCCTTGCTTGGGGTATTGTTTACTTGAATGTTGGTCTGATGTTAATCTTGGAGTTAATGTATATTCATCTGGGTATTGATTGCTGGTGGGTGGATGTTTTGATGTTTTTGTTCCCATTTGGCTTGTTGACTGTCTCTTTTACATAGTATATTTTGTTTATGTCCGTGTCTATTGAGGGCTAATTAGAGTGCCAAGCTTCCAGAAATTCCCCTGCATTTTTTGGATTATTCTCCCTCATCGTGGCTGGGGGCAGTTTCCTCAAAAGATGGCCAAAGTACCCAATGTTCATAGGTTCTCTAGATGTTTTCAAGATTGCCTTCAAACTTCAGACCCACATTTAAATGTTTTTAGATTTAGGAGGGGGAAGGGTATCTGGCACTGAAAGGACATTTCTCAAATATCAAAAGTTTTCCCCACAATATTCATCTCTCCCAAAAATCCTGATTTTGTAAAGAAGAATCTTCCCCTATCAAAATCCCAACACTAAAACTATTATACATAATAGTAATGCAAAATTGTTATTGCTTTTTTATGTCAGTTATTTCTACAAAATGTAATAATTTGCCACACTGGTACTAGTGCATTACTCAACACCAGCTTAGCTACTTGAATACTAGCTAAACTGGTCAAGCTACCCTGGAGAAGTTACTTCAATTCAATGTACAGTGTTATTTGCTTTACCACTGACTTTATTATATCCTTGGTTAAGCATCTTTCTTAAATTGGCTGCAAATAATATTGGTACGTTGCTTGGAATGTAGTACAACATGTTTGTATTTCAGATGATGGGCTGCATGGATTCACACAAAATATCTCCACCCAGCAAGAATGCATGCAATTTTCCCAGGGATCCTAGCTGTCTAAACTGAATCACAATAGAAGGTATACTCTCAAGGGTGATGTCTCCTTGGCCTTCGAGGTGTTTATTAGTTGGTAGCTGAAGAAGGCTTAAATTCTGTTAGTCCCTGCTGTTAAAGAAACAACAGACTATAATTTTGTTACTTTGGGACTGTGCAACGAAACATGTTGTACTGTAATAGTGTTGGAGAACACAAAAAGAGAGAACGTATACACAAAGAATGATGCTACCTCTTCCTGAATGTGGAAGAGCTCATTGTTAGGAATTTAGATAGAAGTGTAAGGTATGAACTCACTGCAGAGATTTACACTTTAAAAATACAATTCTAATCCTAACTCAGTGATAAACCACTTTTAAGATGGATTCAGAACAGGCCATGGGACAAAAAAAGTTTTGGTTACTCTGAAAGGTGATCTTAACTGTCACTTGGTTTTTAAAATGTGCTTCTATTCTTGTCTTTTGAAAATTCTAGGTGATATTCTATACTATTGCCCAGGGTATTTTTTTCTTGGTCATCTGTGAGGGCTGGGAGTTGCAGACAACTGAGCAGGTGATTTTCCATGCGGGGTCAAGAGATCAGTCTATTAGCTGGTCATTTGTGGTTGCAACCTAAAGCTTCATCCCACACTATTTCCATGTTGGCAGCAGTGCATTAGTGGGTTCCCATCATCTTCCTGATGGATATTCTTCAACTTCCCAGGCAATCCTATAGTTCTAATATTTCGTGATGGTCTCCTTTCCAACTATTAAGCAGGTCGGCCTGAACGTAGATGAGGAATCAGCCTATTTCATTCTGTAAGAGAAGGACAGACAGAGTCTGGGGGGTTGAGTCAAGAGAGGAATTAGCCTAGAGTCATTATATCCCACAAACAAGTCCCATCCCCATGAATTCTGTTGACCCTTATCTAGTGCCAATTTAGCGCTGACCATTAGTTGACTAGATTCTTGTGTATAAGCATAAGCTATAAATCAGCTCACTTGGAACTTAACATATGGTCCTCATACTTCATGTCTAACAGATTCCTTCTGAGTAAATAAATAAATAAATATTCAACTGTCAGTGTTGACTATTTAAGAACTGGTGAAATGCATGAAGAGATATCATTAGCTCTGCTCCCCAGGAAATCTGCATGTTAGAGCCCTGACTTATCAAGAAGGTAACCAATATAATTTCAAACAAAGAGCTAAGCCAGGGGTAAGCAACCTTGGCTCTTTTATGACTCGTGGACTTCAACTCCCAGAATTCTTGAGCCAGCCATGCTGGCTCAGAAATTCTGGAAGTTGAAGTCCACGAGTCATAAAAGAGCCAAAAGAGCCAAGGCTGCTTACCCCTAAGCCATAGTTTGAGATATTGAATCCAGCCATTGTCAAAAACAAACCAACCAATTGTCTGATTAACACTCCCAAGCATCTTGTAGACTGGTTACTGGTAGTCCTCAGCTTACAATGATTCATTTAGTGACAGTTCAAAGTTACAGCAGTGCTAAAAAAAACATTTGACTTACAACCCATTCTCACACTTACGACCGTCACAATACCCCCATAGTCACGTGGTTAAAACTGGGCACTTGGCAACCAGCATGTATATACAATGATTGCAGCATTCTGGACTCAACGTGATTGTCATTTGTGACCTTCCCAGCCAGCTTCTGATGAGCCAAGTCAATGGCAAAAGCCAGATTTCACTTAACGGCCACATTAAGAAGTGCAGTGATTCACTTATGTGGTGATTCCACATGTACTACTAACAACTACGGTAAAAAGGTTGCAAAATTGGGTGTGTCTCACAACCACCACCTTGCTTAGCAATGGAAATTCTGGTTCCAATTGTGTTTGTAAGTCTAGGACTACCTGTATTCCACATAACTAAGCTATACCCTCGTTTATTAGAAGTGCCCAGGAATTAGAATCAGAATAGAGCTGGAAGGGACCTTCAAGGTCTTCTAATCTTCTAATAATGTCTGAAATGGCATAGGGTTTCCTGCCTGAGCAGGGGGTCGGACTAGATGACCTCCAAGGTCCCTTCCAATTATTATTATTATGGATCATCGCACAGTCAGCCAGATGTTCAGACCGGATTTGGCATTTTGTCTACCTATCGAGTCCTTACCCAGGACCTGGGATAGGTAGATGTGGATGTTTGATGATATTACAGGTATCGTTGCAGGATGGAAGCAGTTCCTAGTAAGGCCGCCTTTTGCAATTGACTAATAGCGAATTTGTCAATGCCAATGGTGTTCAAATGGTGCGCCAGTTGTTTTGGGATTGCACCCAAGGAGCCTATTATTATTGGTACTACCCTTGCTTGCTTTTGCCACAGTCTTTCTATTTCTATCTGTAGGTCTTTGTATTTTGTTATCTTCTCCAGTTCTTTCTAGTCTATTCTGCTGTCTCCAGGCACTGCCACGTCCACTATCCAGACTTTTTTTGTCTTTCTTATTGGCAATTGTTAAGTCTGGGGTGTTATGTTGTTGTTGTTGTTGTTGTTGTTGTTATTGAAGATCATCGCACAGTCAGCCAGATGTTCAGACTGGATTTGGCATTTTTGTCTTCCTAGGCAGATGTGGATGTTTGATGTTATTACAGATATTGTCGCAGAACGGAAGCAGTTCCTAGTAAGGCCGCCTTTTGCAATTGACTAATGGCGAATTTGTCAATGCCAATGATGTTCAAGTGGTGCTCCAGTTGTTTTGGGATTGCACCCAAGGCGCCTATTACTATTACCTTGCTTGCTTTTGCCACCGTCTTTCTATTTCTATTTGTAGGTCTTTGTATTTTGTTATCTTCTCCAGTTCTTTCTCTTCTATTCTGCTGTCTCCAGGCACTGCCACGTCCACTATCCAGACTTTTTTGTCTTTCTTATTGACAATTGTTATGTTGCAGGTGCTTGTCTGTTTGAATTCTGAAGTCCCAGAGCAGTTTAATTTTATCATTTATCATCATCATCATCATTCCAACCCCCTGGTCAAGCAGAAGACTCTACACCATTTTAGACAAGTGAGTGTCCAGTCTCTTCTTAAAAACCTCCAGTGATGAAGCACCCACAACATCTGAAGGTCTCTTGCTTGCAAAGCATGAAATTTGCCACAGAAATCTTCTCTGCCCAGGGAAAATCTGGAGTATTGAGTTCCCATTAGTAATATGGCCTATTGTGTGAAAAAGCTTCCTGTCTGATCTAGGAATAACACCAAGGAAAGCTCAAAATGCAAATTGGTAGGCATTGTAGCCAATGGTATAATTCAGCTGTCCTGTTTGAAACTGAATTCTATTCAGAAAAAGAACTTAAGACTGGCTTGTGTTTTTTGAGGGACTATGGCGGAAAACGCTCGCTAGGGAAATGCTGAGAATCCTTGTGAACAAGTAAAACATCCTTGTTTCAAATATTGTTCCTCCAATTTAACGTCTAAGATTACCAGAGAACAACATGTCATCTGCTGGATTCCAGAGCTTTATGAGTCCAGCAGCCACTGTGACCTTTAAACTATGGTCTAGTAGTTTATTTGTATTATGAACCAGCCATAATCAGCCATGGCTTGGCAGATGGGACGCCAGAGGCCCCTTCGAAAAAGCTCTCAGCCACCGAACTGAAATGTTCAACACTGCAGAAAGGGGGAAATTATTGCAAATGTAAATTTGGAGAATATGCAGGAACGGCATTATCTAGCATGCATAAAGGTACTTCAAATTAGCATCCGGAGACAGCGGAGATGAGCTGAGCCAGGCGAGTGGGTGAGCCAGTGACCAGAGGGGGCGCCAGACGCAGAGAAGACAATGGGGATGAGCTGAGCCAGGGGAGTGGGCCAGCCAGTGACCAGAGGGGGGGCAGATGCACCGGCAGACAGCAGAGCCAAACTGAGCTGAGTGAGTGGAGTTGCCTGGGTGAGTGACCAGAATGGGCTGATGTCCAGGGCAAGGGACAGAGCGAAAGACCTTGGGACATTAGCCAGTGACTGAGAGCAGGGCGGAACCAAATTGCCTGGAGAAAGGGACAGAGGGAATCAGACGTTAGCGGCCCTTTCGGGGATAGCACTACAAATGGACTGGACAGCCATCTGTCTGTAATGGTACAGGGTCTCCAGCCTGAGCAGGGGGGTTGGATTGAAGACCTCCAAAGTCCCTTCCAATTCTGTTATTCTGCAAAATTTGTGTTGGAAATAGTTCAAGGATCATTTTATCACGCTTGATGGACATGCACAAAAGCTAGGAACGTTTGGGTTCAAATACACACAGTGATTCAGTGGGTTTTAAATTATTCAGCTGAAAGCAGAACATCTTATCATTTGAGACTGATGAATAAACGGTTAAAAAAATCTCACAAAACTTTTCTTTTCTATCTATCTATCTATCTATCTATCTATCTATCTATCTATCTATCTATCTATATCTATCTACAATTTTCTTTCTCTATATTAAAAAGGCAAGGACAGCTTGAATCACACCATTGCAGTTGCCATCTTGACTTTTTTGACCTTATATTGTAGATATCACTGTCATGGGGACAATAATCCCTTGCTAGGCCTATGAATACCCATTACTTGATGAACAGCCCTGAAACAAAATGCAGTTTGCTACTTCACAAGGGCAGGCCACTGTGTTGCTAGGTTTTTGGCTCCCGAAAAGCAGTTAAGAAAAAGAAAACCTAATTGCAACTAGCAAAAAAGAACTCTGAAAAACCCTCAAGCACAAAGGGAGCATTTATCATGCTCTGAAACTGGAGGGCTGTGAGTTCCCCACCCTTTTTATCGTATCCTTTTAACTTGATTTGAGATGGCAGGTTTGATTGCATTCATCTGACTCTCCACCAAATTAGGAGAAAAACGCCTTGCGTTTGGGAAAGCATTTAAAAAAGTTCGCTTCAAAGAAATCACGTCAAATGCTGAGTGTCAACAACGCAACGACAGTGAGTAAGCAGACAAAATCAGGAGAAGAGCAACATTGAGAATTCTGAATCAGAAATTGAAAGAAAACCAGGGCTGATGCCAACCTGATTGAGGATGTTACATTCCATACAGATAGTCCTTGATTTACGACCGTAACTGAGCCCACAATTACATCCACATCCCAATAGTGGTAAAGCAGGTCATCATGTGACTGCACCCAATTTTATGACCTTTTTGCCGCTGTGGTTGTTAATCAAATGCCATCATTAAGTGAATCATTAACTCGTTGCTCAGCTATGAGGCATTTTTGGCCAGAAACTGGAAATAAACTCCAGTTTGCAGCAAAAACATTATAAATCACAGTCATGTGATTGTAAGATACTGCAAATGGCTGTAAATGTGTTGGTTGCTAAGCAACCAAAACGCAGTCACATGACTAGGGGGTGGGCCACTATCAGAACTTTGAACCTGGTTAATAAATACCTTTTTTGGGGGGTCCATTGTAACTGAATGGTTGCTAAGCACCCGGTCAAAAGTAGAGGACTATCTGTACTACAAATCCCATACCATTTTGGCATTCTGGTATAGTCCACTATAACTCAGGAGATGGGAGAAGCTGTTCTAATGTCTACTGCATTGTACTGCATATATCTCATTGTACAGATCTGTGCAGTGAGACATGTACAGATCTTTACACTGGAGAAACAAAACATATCACAAATGCATGGCACAATATAGGAGAACAAAACCATCAGGACAAGATTCAGCAGTCCATCTGCATTTGAAAGTCAAAGGTCATTCTTTTCAAGATAGCAAAATCCACATTATGGACAGAGAGGGCTGCTAGTTTGAAAGAGGGGTCAAGGAGGCTATCTACATTAAGTTTGAACAGTCCTCTCAACAGAGGAGGAGGAATACAAAACCACCTATTTCCTGTTTACAATACAATCCTTTCAGAAGTTCCAAGAAGGTTCCACACCTATTTGCACCATTCAGGTGACCCTGAGGGCACAGATAAATCTCCAGGTGGCCTCAATGACTCTCAAAAAGAGTGTAGACCAGATGACTACGAATATAAATCCTTCCATCCTCCACCATTCAGTCAGAACTGAAGAAGCTTCTTAGATGAGAAGTCAAATGTCTTCAAGGAAAAACAAAGTCCAATTGCCTTTTGAAAAAGCTCCTTTGGGAACAACCATGACCTGAATGACTTAGAATCTCCATAGACATTTAGCTCCTCATTTTGTCATCTGCAATTCTGATCCTCATCTGCTCAACCTCATCATCCTGGGGGTCACATGGATGATTAATACAAATGTTGAACCCAGTTGAACCCTTCCACTCAACACTACTCTGGTCTGATGGGGGCCATTTATGAGTATTCTTTGGAAGTCACCCCTCAGCTGGTTTATGGTTACATCCAACAGTTGTATCATCTTCTAGCTTGTATGTTATCATGTTAACAAGGACGTAATTAATGGAAACTTTGTCAAATGCTTTGGGGAGGTGTGTTTCCACAGTATTCTGCCAATCTATTAAGTTATTAAAGAAGCAGGTTTGGCCTTGCATGTCTTCTTGCTGACAAACCCACCCACAGCTGGCTCTTGTTAACTAACGCATTCTTATCCAAGTGCTCACAAGCAATGCTGCTGAAGTATCTGCTTGAGGACCTTGCAGAGTAAAAGTGTCAAGCTGAGAAGTTTGATTTTTCTCCTTCCATTTTTTTTTTGAAGACCATACAACTTCAGTCTTCTAGGGCCTCACCCTCTAAGAGTTCTCCAAGAATATACATAGCAATCACTTCTGCTAGTGCCTTCAACATCTAGGATGTAGGTCAGCTGGTTTTGCAAACTTGAATTCATCTCAATTAATTAAACACCACAGCCTGGACCAAGGATAGGCAACCTTGGCTCTTTTATGACCCGTGGACTTCAACTCCCAGAATTCCTGAGCCAGCATGGGGAAAACTTTGGCCCCTTCATGACTCGTGGACTTCAGCTCCCAGAATTCCTGAGCCAGCATGGCTCAGCTTGGAAACCTCTCCCTTTCCCCTCAGCATGGCTGGCTCAGGAATTCTGGGAGCTGAAGTCCACGAGTCATAAAAGAGCCAAGATTGCCTACCCCTGGTGTAGATATATGCTCCTCCTTACGTTTCCTGTCTCCTATTACCTAAATCCCCTTTTTTACTTTTCAGCATTTTAGAAGGCTCTGTGTGTATTCACACTGGTTTCTTTGTGTGCTATTTTTCTTCTGCTACCGTATCATTTGCTGTGGTGGCTTCAGTATTGTGCCTCCTTTCATTGAACTTCCTATCTTTTCTGGACATTTTTCTGGATCTCATCTGTCTTCCTTAAGGGTTTATCATTCATTACCTTCTGAAATCAGCTATAGAAATCTGTGTCTTTTCTATTGTTTCTCCCCTTGATATCATATTCAAAAATAATGTGCTGATTTGCTCTCAATGTTCTAGTTCAGGGATCTTCAAACTTGGCAACTTTAAGACTTCTGGACTTCAATTCCCAGAATTCCTCAGCCAGCCAGGGCTGGCTGAGGAATTCTGGGAGTTGAAGTCCACAAGTCTTAAAGTTGCCAAGTTTTTGAAAATCCCTGTTCTAGTTAATGTCACTTCCTCAACTTATTCTTCCCTGTTATTAAGGATTATGTCCTGGATAGCAAATCCTCCTTTTCCTTTTTCTTCCTTCTGATTAATTAAGTTGTCAGCAAGAAAGGCTAGGAATGTGTTGGACTTCTGACTCTTGGCAGAAATAGATTTCCGGCAGATGTCAGGGTATTTGAATCTTCTTTTATTACTCTCATGGCCTCTTTGAAAGTTTGGACATCTAACAAAGATCTCATCCATATCTTCAGTCTGTCCAGGAAGTCTATAATAAAGTCCAATAGTGATGTCACTTTCTGTCACACATACACCTCTTTTACCCATACCCAAAAGTTCTTAACAAACTTTCCATGTTCTAATTGGTGATTTTTTTTCTGCAAACATTTGCTTTCTTTATGAATAAAGCAATTCCCCCCTCCTCACTTTCTGAGTCGGTTCCTTTGGATATAGCCTTCCAAGGCTATCTTCCAATTGTGTATGTCATCTCATCAAGCTTTTTTCTGTTTCCATAGTTTTTTGGTCTAAGTTCAATGTAAAGTTTAAGGTAGAAGAACCCTTAAAATAGAGTTCAGGAGTCTTGAAATAGAGAGTACCAAGACAGCAGACTAGTAGCAACATGGTAATTTCTACACAGATATGACCAAATCCCAAATGTATACAACTCATGTTTTACCGATAAAAGAGAATATTTGTAGCTCAGGGTTGAATTGTGGGCTCCAGGGTGCTCTGTGAGCTTGGTTGTTTTTCTGAAGGTGTTTCGTTATCCAACTCAGTAAACAACCACCTAATCAAGGAACCACCAAGACCACTCCCATCAACACTGACTGGGCAAGCCACTTGTATATAAACCAAGAGCAAAACCCACTCCCTTCTAGCACTGATGATGTTATTTAGTTTGATAATGAAACATCTGAAAGAAAACCACCAAGCTCAGAGAGCACCAAGAATCCCGCAACTTATGTTTTGTCCCTTTCTTTTAAAGGTATTTAAGAGATGAAGGAATCCTAGAAGCAGTTTTAAAATTCATACCTTTGCTTGCCATCAGAAATGTAGTAGGCATTAATACCTTGGCTTTGCTGGAAGGAAAAGTCTTCATCCTGGTTCAGTCCAAGCCGGGAATAAACATCATGGTGACTGCTTTAGAAATAAGGTTGCAGTTTATTGAAGAGGAGAGCCAGACAGAAAAATGATTCTGGCAGGGAAGTGGAAAAAAAGAGCTGAGCACATGTGGGGAGTGGGTTTTTATACTCTCTGGAGCTTTTGTTTTGAGTTGCTTCCTGTTCCTGTGGCATGAACTTTGACCCGAGTCTGAGTGTGCTTTTCTGGTATTCTGATGGTGATGGGTTAGTCCTATTATGACCAAAGGTCATATCCTGCTTCCCTGGGGCTGGGACTGATGACTCTTAGAGTTTGGATGGGATATGTAGATTTTAGATCTTTGTCTTCTTAATCTCCTAGCTCCCTGGATTTACATCTGCATCTCTATAGTGCTGGTTTCTGCTTGAGGAAGGGAGACCTGGGGCTATTAAGAAAGCAGGGCATGCTTTCCTGCCTCTTTAAAATCCTTTGAGAAAATATATTTTTCTGCCCTTTTGATATTTCTTTCTCTGGGGGGCTGACTTCCCACAGCTAATGTTGTAGACACTAATTGTATTTTTTCCCATTCATAACACAATCCATTGAAAATCCAAGAGTCTTCTTAGGGTTAGGCAGCCTGAATAAATCTGATAAAATAAACAAACGTAACCTGTTCTGTACAAATTCCTCTGAAAGTAATGAGGAGCTGAAGAGCAGCATAAGAGAAATAGAGGTATTTACTACTGCACCAATGTCTTTAAATCCAAGCTCCAGCAATTTTTAAGTCCTTAGGTTTCTTTAGTTCAATGGCTCTTAAACTGTTTGACCACTTTCCTGGTCTTGAATATCCTGTCATATCCTCATTAAAAAAAACCTCCCAAAAACATCTAGATTCTGTTGCTTTACACAAGCATCTCAGCAGTTTTCAGTCCCAAATTGGATCTTCAATTCACAGACAAGCAAAATTTATTTTATTTACTCATGTCCTTTTATTATTTTTATATAATAACCCAAGGCAATAAACATACCTAATGCTCATTCCTCTACCCCATTGCTATTTCCCCCATAGCAATAATCCTGTGAGATTGTTTGGACTGAGAGAGAGAGTGACTGGCCCAAAATCATCTAGCTGGCTTTCATGCCTAAAGTAGGACTAGAACTCACATTCTCCTGGTTTCTAGCCTGGTGCTTTAACCACTAGACCAAACTACCTCCATTACCCCCAGATATATCCCAATGACTAAATTTGGAGTAATTATTTTAATTAATTAAAAAAACATTTATTTAGATCAACTTCCTCATGAAAGGACAGTTAGCAGAATGCTGAAATTCCCCCAATTTCTTTCTGAAACATGTTTTTTTTTAAATTCTCTTCAATATACCAGAAGTCAATTTGACTCTTCTTTTTTTTAAAAAAAAAACAAAACATGCACTAGTGTGCCTAATGTTGACACTTAGTGTTAAGGCTGCTATGTCACTCTTTATTGATGGACTGCAAATCATTCTGAACCATATCAGGACGATATTGCCCCTCAAAAATCAGGAAAAATCATAGTTGCTGGAAGGCTTACCATGGTTAGTGCCAGGACCTCAATCCGATTGTCTTCGTATTTCCTTTGAATGCCAATAGGCTGTAAAATGTCATCATAAGGAGATGCTCTGTTGGATCAAGATTCAGATGCATTTCAAGGGAGGAGAGGAGAGAACCGATCTAGAACTAAGGAGAAATTTCCTGACAATTTAATTAGAACAATTAATCAGTGGAATTGTCTTCAGAAGTTGAGGGTGCAACAATGAAGGTTTTTTAGAAGAGATTGGACAACCATTTGTCTGAAATGGTATAGGGCAGTGATGGCGAACCTTTTAGAGACCGGGTGCCCAAACTGTAACCCAAAACCCACTTATGCATCGTCGGGTGATGGGTGGGTGTGGCCCATTGACTGGGTGTGGCCAATTGGAAGGGTGTGGCCTATTGGGTGGGCGTGGCTGCAGTGGTAATGGCAGACTGAGTGGGACTAAAAAGTTCAACCAATTCCAACTTTGCAAGACCCTTTTTTCCCCACGAATAGTTGAAATTGACTGATTGATTGAACCTTTTTTTTTTTTTTTTTGCACATGGCATCGGAGGTCTAAAGTGAAAAGGTTTTATAAAACCCAGCTGAAGGCCAAGGACTGGGGCGACGGCACACGTGCCCATAGAGAGGGCTCTGTGCTGCCTCTGGCACCCATGCCATAGGTTCACCACCACTGGTATAGGGTTTCCTGTCTGAGCAGGGGGTTGGACTAGATGACCTTCAAGGTCCTTTCCAACTCTATTAGAAATTGTTATTCTGGTTATGGAGAATGGGAACGGGGAAGGGAGAGGTTGATTAAGGATGCTCATTGTGCTGACGTGTGGCCAACTGGAGGCATAGACCAGGCTTATTAATTTAAACTTATATAAAAAAATGGCCCAAGATTTGCAGGATTTAATAATGAAACATATTCCTAAAATCCAGGAGTAACAGGAACATCGTATAACCCAGAAAAGTAGAGAGGAAATCCCCTTTTTCATATATTTTCAAGCTGCTAGCCAGCTTGACAGGGGAATGACTAAGAAAAGATTGTACATGTTCCATGCCTGAGCAAGAAATGAATCATCTTTCAGTATTTAAGATAAAAGTAGAACTACAAGCCTAGAAACATGAGTCGGTCTCAGTGCTAGAAAATTAATTATAGCTAGTTTCATGTGATTATGCAGTCTTGATTGCTACACTTGGTCCTCCTAATTAAGAAATTACAATATAGATGACGCAGGTAATCATGTATTGGTATGGTGTTAATTGCAACCCGTTTCTTCCTTAGGAATTATTTCAATGGAAGGGAAGAAGGAAGAGAAATGAAAAAATGGCTTAGATTAGACAGACTTCTGCTGCTCTCTTATCCCCAAATTGAATTTCCACTATTTAAAGCAGCGGTTCTCAACCTGTGGGTCGGGACCCATTTGGGGTCAAATGACCATTTCACGGGAGTCGCCAAATAACACAGTCCGCCATTCCCCCCCCCCTTTTCCTTAGCTGTGCTACTCCCTTTTATTCTATTGGCTTTTGAAAGCCAATAGAATAGACTCTCTTGAATAGAGTTTAATTCTATTGGCTTTCAAAAGCCACTAGGAATTGTCCAGGCTGTCTCTGCCCTGCTGAGCCCGCCAAAAGCCCCATTCTGCAAACGGTGCTGCAAGTTGTCTGCAGCGAAGGTGAGCTCTCTGGAAGTTTCCACCCCTCCCTGCTGAGCAACTACTAAAAATGTAAGTAAAAGAGGGCTAGGGGTGGGAGGTGGGAGGCCGGCGGGCGCAGGGAGGGTTGCTGGCGTGCGTGGGGCCCAGCGGGTGCCTTACCTCCCTTGGGCTGGGCCAGCTGGTGGCCTAGTCGGTGGTCGGCCTGCGCCATCTCTGCCGCTTGCCAGCTACACCTCAGCTGGCGCAGGGGACAGCACCACGCATGCGCGGCACTCCTGGGCAGGGAAAGTCCTCGAATTACGACCAGTTGGGTAGCCCTCGACTTACGACCGGTTGGGGGTCGCGGCATTAAAAAGGTTGAGAACCACTGATTTAAAGGGAACAGATCTCTATTTAAAATAGAGGGTGTCCAATCTTGGTAACTTTAAGACTTGTGGATTTCAACTCCCAGAATTCCCCAGCCAGCATCCAGAATTCATGACTGGCTGGGGAATTCTGGGAGTTGAAGTCCACAGGTTTTAAAATTGCTAAAGTTGGACTCCCTGATCTAGCACACTTGAGATTCCTGTAGTTTCAGCCTTTCAATCGAAATTTACTTCCTCCATGGAACACAGATAATGTTGCAGGATTTCTTTGATCCTAGGGACTTTTGCACATTTTAATGATCAAGAGGCAAGTAGTGATTAAGATGGATTCAATCCTTCCTGCCGGGAGCTTCCTAATAGCACATAAAACTGCTCAGTTATTAAGAGATCATTAACACCGTATCAGAGGCTTGGATTTCTCCAGCTGCAGCCAGATCTGTTGTCAGACATCAGTTGCGTTGAGCAAGAGAGGAAATGTAAATAGCAAGTTAATTTACATGGATAACAATTAGAAGGCAAGGTTGTGGTAGGAGAGTTCATGAATCCATGTTCACTGCAAAGCAGAGGGCTCAATAAAGACCAAGGCTATAGGTATCCCTAACAATGGATAACTAGAAAGATATATCTTATGTGTAGTATATATGTGCACTGGTGCAACGCTTACATTCTTTTTATATATATAAATATTTTATTAATTTTCTATTTTTATAATCAAGTGCCTAAACGTGATGACTGAGTCCATTAGTGATTCCGTGATACATGTAGGCTTCTTCAAACTAAATCCAATGTTACACCCTACAACAGTGTTTCTCAACCTTGACAATTTTAAGGCATGTGGACTTCAACTCCCAGAATTCCACAGCCAGCAATGCTACAATAAAACCTCTCTTCTTCTGGAAATAGACATTTTTCCACACTAGGCAAATATAATTCTTATTGTCATAAGTAAATATACAATTGCCTGAAGGAAATAGAAGCTTTGACCTATTAGAGGGGATGTTATATTATTAATTGGATGTTTGAATATGGTTAAGAATAGATTGCTAGAAATAGAAGTATTATCATAACTACTGTAGATAGATAGGATTTGCAATCAAAATATCATATCTTGGTATGAAAAGGGAAATAAGAACATGTTAAGAACTTTGAATAAAGGAAGCTTTTGGTTACCCAAATATAACTTGTTCTGAAATTATAAATGATTGGAATATTTTGAACATGGATGGGGAGTTAAAATTGAAAAAAGCAAAATAGGATATAAACTGAATAAATGAGTGCAAATGCAATTAAGATATGCTTTGGTTAGTAAAGATATTTTAAACTGATATTATTGACACTATTAGAAAAATGTAACTCTCACATTCTTATAGCTGCTAATAATTTATGAAATCTACAGAGTATCTCAAAGCTTCTTCTGTAAGCAAGTAATGCTGCTCTAAGTTCATGGACTCAGAATTATCCCTCTTTATGGCTGACCTAGAATGGGGTTGGTGGTCCATTTGCCTATCTAGATCTCTTGCTCTCTGGGGTACAGGACTGCTTGGAGCTTGACCCAGAATACTTTTCCACTGGAAGCTGCAGACATACACACAATATTTTGTATTGTTAGCATCCATAGTCATGTATCTGAGATGGGAGAGACATATAACATCAAATACACAAACAAACAAACAAACAAACAAACCGTGCTTTCTTTTCATCACCTGTTGCCAATTCAACGTTGCTTTTCCTGTTCCACTGAAAGCTGCAGATGCCTCCAGGACCTTCTCTTCTGTCTTGCCTTCTACTTCAGAGAATGGATCCTCCAGGAAAAATATGAACCTGGGCAGATCACTCACCAACCATCTTGTCCGGTTTGAATTTCAGTTTGTCAATCCTTGTCTTGACTATTTCGTAACGATAGTTACCAATACAGCATATCACATAGATTAGGCAAAATTTAAAGCTAGTTATCTCTGTGATGAGGAGAGCTCAGCTCAGTCCCCAGATAACCTCCGAAGGCTGTTTAATGAAAATGAGAAAATGACATGAGTGTCCTTGTGGATTACAAGTTAAACATGAGTCATCAGACAAATGCTGTCTTGGGGTGTGTAAACAGGAGCAGAGTCCAGGTCAAGGGAAGTAATTGTTCTACTCTATTCTGTCCTGGTCAGACTCTGTTTGAAATACATTTATGGTGGAAGTTTAGAGGAAGGCTACCACAATGGTGAGGTGTTTGGAAAAAAGTCCTAATGGGACAATGAACGGAATTGGATAAATATAGCTTGCAGAAGAGATAACTGAATAGAGATGATAGCGATCATCAAACATCTGAAAGGTGTCATATAAAAGAGGAGGTAGACTATCTATTGCCTCAGAGACCAGGAGCAGGACCACTTCAAGGTTCTACAAGGAACCTTATAGCACATATTGTAATTTTATGGTAGATGCCAGGAGAACCTTCCTGATTATATGACCTTTCAGCCAATAGAACAATGAAACGGTGAGCTCTACTTTACTAGAGATATAGATGACTATCTCAGAGATGCTCTAATGAATCCTACACCGATCAGGGGATCAGTTGGAGTAGATGATCTCTAGGGTACAATCTAACTCTAGGTTTCAATGAACATTGATTCTAAGGAGCTTTCTATGGGATACAGTGATAATCCTTTACCACTGCCTCCTGAAAAGGCCAGGCAAACAGAAGCAGAACTTTCCATGGAATATGTCCCCACTCCATATATTCTGTTGGAAGCAAACTTAAACATCCTTTCCCCACATCATGAATACTAAGTGCAGTACTGCTTATCTTCTGCTAAGCAAAAGGAGAGAGAACAGGTAGAGATATTGATGGTGTTATACAAATATCGCTGCCTATATATTTTTAAAAAGTACTTCCATGGACATCTCCATTTAAAAAGCTGCATGGGGAGAAGGAAGGAAGGAAGGAAGGAAGGGAGGGAGGGAGGGAGGGAGGGAGGAGACAAGAGGGAAGGGAAGGGAGGGAAGGAGGGAGGAGACGGGGGAAGGGAAGGGAAGGGAAGGGAAGGGAAGGGAAGGAGGGAGGGAGGGAGGAAGGAAGGAAGGAAGGAAGGAAGGAAGGAAGGAAGGAAGGAAGGAAGGAAGGAAGGAAGGAAACATAGCACAAAGAACTGGAGGGCAATTATATGAATACAGAGATACATTTGGGGGACCTTGATACAAGTACTCAGTGTATTAGAACATACTGCAAATGTAAAAAAATAGGCTTTTCCCTGTTCCAACACTCCATTTCCAAAAATACAAGATTAATAAAGAATAAAATCAGCAAGATACCTATTCAATCCTCACCCTTCATTGACGTTCAGCAGTATATTTTTGATGACCAAAAGTCAAATTTCTGACTTAAGGTCCCAAACAAGGCTGATTTTGTCCAAAATTGCACTGGGTTCTTGCAGGAAAGCTCTCTATTGGCTTCCCAGAGCCACAGATTATAAATCAAATTAGCAGTGTCAGTAATAGTATGGAAGTCCAAAGTTGTATCTCAGCAAACTCTGCACAATTGGCTTACAAAACCTGGGGATGAATGTGTTGATTCAGGCCTCTGGCTGCTTTCTTTGCCAATCGCATTAGGAACATGGAGGCCTTCGCTTATCCACTTTGGGCACATAATCAGCTATATAATTGGGGGTTTTGGGGGGGCAGTAAGGATATATGCCCATGAGTGGTCTGGGAATATAACTCAAATTGAACCTGGTTTTACTTACCCCAGTGATGCCGCCTGAAGTAAATGCAGACTTACTTCTTGGATACTCTTGGATCCCATCCAGGAACAGATGCCATTCATTGTATAAAAGCAAATATAATAAATCTATTTCCCCCTCCTAAATAAGTCTCTAGTCATATAATCTAGTAAAATATGTTAATTACGACCACAGGATGCAGAAGGGCAACAGTATTACTACAGGAAGCAGATGCGGGAAGTGTAATTTGGATTGCATTCACAAAGATGCAGTTAAATACCCCACATACGGATAGTCCTCAACTTACAACCATTTGTTTAGCAATCATTTGAAGTTACAAAAGCACTGAAAAAAAGTGATTTATGACCAGTCCTCATACTTATGACCATCACAGTTTCCCCTGATCACATGATCAAAATTTGGGCACTTGGCAACTGGCATGTATTTTTTTAACATGTACAGGTAGTCCTCAACTTACGACAATTGAGCCTAACATGCTGTTAAGTGAGACATTTGTTAAGTGAGTTTTGCCCCATTTTATGACCTTTCTAGCCACAGTTGTTAAGTGAATCTGGCTTCCCCATTGACTTTGCTTGTCGGAAGGTCACAAAAGGTGATCATGTGACCCCAGGACACTGCAACCGTCATAAATATGAACCAGTTGCCAAGTGTCTGAACTTTGATCACATGACCCTGGAGGAATGCTGCAATGGTCGTAAGTGTGAAAAACACTCATGTCACTTTTTTCAGTGCTGTTAAAACTTTGAACGGTCACTAAATGAATTGTTGTAAGTCGAGGACTACCTGTATTGGCAGCCCAGCTTACTGGTTTACAATTTATATTGCTTGCAGCATCCTGGGTTCATGTGATCACCAATTGTAACCTTTCTACCAGTTTCCCACAAGCAAAGTCAATGGGGGAAGCCCAATTTGCTTAGCAACTATGTGATTCACTTAACAACTGCAATAATTTACTTAAAATTATTGACAAAATGGTCATAAAACTGGGTACGGCTCGCTTAACCTTAGCAACGCAAATTCTGCTCCCAGCTGCGGCCATAAATCAAGGACTACCTTTATTCGAAAAATCTAATGGCCTAAGGATCTGCCCCAAACATGAACAGAACATATTATTTGGAAGAACATCAATCGATTCCCATCTGGGTCCTGTAGTACACACAGAGATCCATGGAGGAATGGTTTACGCCTGGTTTAAAGCTTGATTTAGCTCTAAATTTACAACCGATTACTTCTTCATTGATCTGATGAAGACACTGCAACATTATTGACGGAGAAATTCATTACTGATTGATAAAGCTGTCAAAGCATTGCCTGATCATTTTATTTCCCTTTGAGCGGAGACTTTGTGCATCTGGGGGAAACACACCTACATGTTACACAGAGGTGGTTGGGATTTCTCAGCCTCTGAGGAAAACCTTGAGGAGACACAGGCCCAAGAAGTTGGCAGATACACATGGCTGGAATGCTAATGTTAAGTACAGCATGAAAAGTTCAGAAAAAAAGCATGAGTGTTATTTATGGATAGCTATGGCAACCAGAAACTGCTAGGAGAGGATAAATTAACTATCAAAGTTAAGCTACAATACATGGTGAGAGTAAGCAAGGCCATATAGGTCCTCTTCTCTGAAAGAAAATAGGCCTATACCTTATAAGTATTGACTTTTCGTGAACCAGAGCTTGGAACCAGGCTAAGTTTTGGGTGTGTCAGATTCAATCTCCACTGCTTGATTCAATGCCAATAAAGGAATTGAGAAGAACTAAGCCAGCATTTTGTCACAGCTGGCAGAACAAATCCTAAACTAGATGCACAGAGTGGTAACCTGATGTTGAGTGAGGCTTAGGGCCTTGTGCAAACTCAGCTGTTGTAATCCAGGGAAGCTTCCTTAGATCAACGGAAGACTTTGAAGAATTTGAAAGCAGAGTGGACCTATGGAAAGCTAAAAAGAACCAACATTGGATGGAACCAACAATGGAGGAGCTGGCTCCTGGGTCTGACGAAAACTGGGAAGTATGGAAATTGTTGAATAGACTGTGCACGGGTACATCAGGATCCAGAGACACACTGAACAAATGGGGCTATCTGGTGGCTTCTGCTCTTTGCAATTCTGGTGACAGACAGACAACAACACATATGTATACCTGCCCTTTGTGTCCCAATCACTTGAAGACCTCATGGCCGCGTCACAGAACACAATTTATGTTGCTAGTTTCTGGGCAAGATCTGTTTAATTTGTACATATTTTAATCCTGTATTTTATATTTTAATTTTACATCATGTAGTATGCCTTATTTTAATTGTGATGCTTCTGACACATACAAGCTTTTCTAATGACAAATCATGGCTTACAGTGATGCAGTAGACAGGATATTAAACTAGGAGATTTAAATCTACTCTCTGCAATAAATGTTTCTTGGGTGGCTCTGGGTAGTTACTCTTCCTTAGCCTAACCTACCTCATAGGTTGGTGGTTGTTGAGAATAGAAGCAAAACTGAGTTTAAACTCAAGTATATAGCAAGTAAAAATACTGCTGTTAATTCTACAGATTGAATTAATCTAACCCAGGGGTAGGCAACCTTGGCTCTTTTATGACTCATGGACTTCAAATCCCAGAATTCCTGAGCCAGCTTGGAAACCTCTCCCTTTCCCCTCAGCATGGCTGGCTCAGGAATTCTGGGAGTTGACGTCCACGAGTCATAAAAGAGCCAAGGTTGCCTACCCCTGATCTAACTCATTGTTCATTTAAGCTAAGCGTGGTTTGCCATACATAACACGTGCACTCAAATGCTTGTGGCCCAGCTCATACTTCATTCTGAATCATAAAAAAATGACTTCACACATCAGTCTATGAAAAATAAACTATATTTTCGAGGAAGGTTATGCTAAAAGCCATCACTCATGATTTACATAACATGGTAAGCCAGACAAAATGCATTGGGATTTAGCGTCTTGTATAAAACTTAGCCATAACAAAAGTCTTAATTGCACAAAGGTGAGAAGTTTTTAGCAACCCGAGGCTTGGCTGGGACATTTGAAGACCAGCATCAGGTAAAGGTTTTGCGTATGTCAAAATGGTAAGCCAGAAAGGGGGGGGGATTTTTCCTGCCCCTTAATTCTCAGTATCTGTATTTGTTTATCAAAAGGGCAAAACACCTGTGTCTGCTCGGACATTGCCTTCTGCACAACGTGGCACTTTTTCAATGGCAAAACAGGAGTTTAAAGACCTTTGTTTACAGATTCTCCCATCAACCTTGCAGTCATTCAGACACCACAGATTATTTGAAAACAGGGGTGGGGAGCGATGTCCCTTTTGTGACGGGTCCACTTCAAATCCCAGAATTCCTGAGCCAGCCATGCTGGCTCAGGAATTCTGGGAGTTGAAGTGCACCCGTCACAAAAGGGCCATAGTTCCCCACCCGTTTGAAATATTCAAAGGGGGGGGGAGGAGATTTCCAAAGTAATTTTCAACGCATCCATGAAAAACTCCTTTGCCGAGTTTTTGGCTTTTCTTTTCCAATTAAGAGCTCACAGCTGCTCAACGGACAGCAAGGCCTGTTGAGAGCAGACAGACACAATGCAAGCACTCATGGCCTGAATAAGGCCTTTATAGGGCGAGGGAGGGGGGAGGGGAAGAGGAACTTCTCCCTGTAAAGACCCAGATGCCAAACTGAACTGATTTCTCCTTCAACTTGTTTTAACTCTTTGCAAGAAAGTGGGGGTACTTGTGCATTTTAATGATCATGCGTAAATACTGCATAAGCATGCTTGAATTCATAGGTGCCTCAGTACACTCTGGAGACTATGTGTAACATAACTCAGCCTTGCTATATAGCACAATGCAACGCCTCAGCAACTTTAAAAAGTGGGATTCCGCTCTCAGAATTCCCCAGCTTCAGTTCTGGAAGTTGTAGTCCATACCTGTTAAAGTTGCTGAGGTTGAGAAACACTGCTAGACAGGCAGTGGTGGGATTCAAATATGTGAACAACCGGTTCTCTGCATGGATGCTGCTTCCAGAAGTCCATTCTGGGCCTAGGCAACAAAAAATTAGCTACCGGTTCTACCGAAGGAGTGCGAACCAGCTGAATCCCACCACTGACTACAGACAGTCCTCAACTTACAACTATTCGTTTAGTGACTGTTCAAAGTTGCAACGGCACCAAAACAAGCGATTTATGATTATTTTTTTACATAACCGTTGCAGCATCCCCACGGTCATGTGATCAAAACTGGCTTGTATTTATGACCGTGACAGTATCCTGGGGTCACGTGATCACTTTTTGCAACTTTCTGACAAGCAAAGCCATTGAGGAAGCCAGATTTACTTAACAACCCTGTTACTAATTTAATTACTGCAGTGATTCACTTAACGGCTGTGGCAAAATTCACTTAACTGTTTTGCTTAGCAACAGAAATTTTGGACTCAATTGGGGTGATAAGTCGAGGAATATCTGTAATGCCTTGGCAGCAAAGTGACAGGCGCTTGCTGCATTCTTCTAACAAAATGTATCCTCTATATTGGAGAATGTAGTCCTTGATTTATAACCATTCATTTAGTGACCGTTTGAAGTTATATCACTGAAAAAAGTGACTTACAACATTTATAACTGTTGCAGCATCCCCAAGATCCTGTGAACAAAAGCTGGGTGCTTGGCAACCAGCAGGTATTGTTGCAGTGGCCTGGGATGGTGTGATTTACTATTTGTGACATTCCCAGCCAGGTTCCGACCAGCAAAATCAATGGGGAAAGCTGGATTTGCTTAATGACTGTGTGACTCACTTAGCAACCGCTTAACAACTGTGACAAAAAGATCGTAAAATCAGGCAGGACTCCACTCAACAACTGCCTTGCTTAGCAATGGAAATTCTATCCCAAAGTGGTTATAAGTCAAGGACTACCCAGATTATAAGGCTGCTGTCTAGTGATTAGCCAGTTGTAAGTATCCATGTCTTCCTAAGATGGCACTTCTCCAGAGAATCTGCAAGAGATTAATAAAGGCTGAGGTGGTCACCCAAAGACACCTTGCACTGGGAAGCAGAAGTAAGTTTATGTCCTTTGCTTCTGAGAGATTAAGCAGAAAAAATGGTGATTTTCCTGAAGCTGACGGATGCGCAAAAGACTATTTAAATCTTGGATAAAGTCAGCATGTTGAAGGATAGACATTGAAATGATGAGGGCAGACTAATCCCATTCCATTATTTAACGTTGGGTGAAGACATTGTCTTGCATTTTCCCTGTTATCTGTCACTCAAGTCAATGAAAGAGAATTTGCTTTAGAAATTATTACAGAGAAGACAATTGGGAGAATTCCTCATGGGTGGATGAAGGTGCTGTGTATTGTTTTAGGGATGAGAGGGACATTTGTTTACATAGGACAATTGGGTCTCCAATGGTTTCCAGTCCCCAAAAGACATGAAAAGAAGGGCAGAAGACATCAAAGAAGGAACATTTCCTATAGGTTTTTTTCAATACCATTGCTTCTGACACCGTTCAGGGAGAATCCGCCTCTTGAATAATTGTTGAAGTTCTCCTACCTCAAGAGACCTTCAAAGAAATTGTCTACTCCATTTCTTTCTCCACAAACTTGAGGAGCAGTTTGCTCCTGGCTTTAGTTGAAATCTAAATTCTAACTTGGTTGATTCCATAAGGCTCTTCTTAAATTTGTACAGGTCATTTTCCCCACTGAATGTCCTTTATTAAAATGTTCAGCTTCTCTTGTCAATTCCTGATTTACCCAACCCAGCGATCCATGTTTCTTTTGAGGCAATTCTATCTCTGCAAATTTAAGTAGGGGTAGATTCCTTTTTCAGGCACACCTTCCAATATACAGGCAAAGTTAGTTGCACATGTGAAATTATTTCTATAACCTCTCCTGCTATTTTGAGAATTGGGAATTGTTCAACAACTGGTGTCAACCTCATATTTTGATCTGGGAGCTTAAGACATCTTGTCTCTCAATATAGCAGACACCTACAATTAAAGCCTCCCTAGAAGCAGAAATCTTAAGACTGCCTAGGAAACGACTGGTGTAAAACTGCACTTGCAGAAGTCAATGTGGAAGAGATGGAATATCGCGGTAGCTAACGTTTTGCACAACACTTTCGTGGCAACTTTTATTTTTAAAATTGCTTATTCTGTCTTCCACTACAAAATCTGCCTAAGACTGAAGTTTAGATTACAATGCTGGGCTGCATTCAGTCAACATTCATTATGGTTATGAGAAAAGTGCTCCTAAAACTCATCTCCATATTTTCCACGGATGAAGCACAAGCTGTGCATATATTCACAGGATGCAGGCACATGCACAGCTTATAGAGCTGGCTACAAATTTGTTGGGACTTGTCTTATTGGGTAAAAGCTGTTCTGTTAAATTCCCACTTAGCCCTGGGACAATCTCAATCCTACCAGGTAGACCAGACAGGTATATGACCGGACAAACTAATTCTTTTTTTTTTTAAATATATTTTATTAGATTTTATATGGGTAGGGAAAAGGTAGGATCGGTGCGGGTACAGGAAAATCGGGATAAAAGGGACAGGGTATGGATAAATACAGTAAACTAATTCTTTATTGCAAAGCTACATTCATGGTCTGAAAGTACAATTCTCCCGCCATCTCTGTTACAGTCTGAGAAACCAGGGTCTCTTCTGAGTTTCTTATCCCTCCCATTATTCAGCTGTGGACTATCATGTCTCTTATCTGACCATTCACTATGCGGCATCTCTCCATCTCATCTCCCAAGGTCTTCCCCACATACTATTTATACATTACAGGCAGTCCCCTCCTTGGGATAGGGTGGGGAATTCAAGGTCACCAGGCCTAACCACCTGATGCTGCTGGGAACATCAAGCGTGAAAAGGAAATCCAGGTTGCAAAAAGTGCTCTGGATCACATTTACCAAACTGGGACACTTCCAGATGAGTTGGATTACATCTACTGCCATTTCTAACCTGGATAGTCTTTGAAGGTTGGGGAATTTCTCTGGAGCTGTTGGTGAAGGCTGCCCAAGTTCCCCACCCCTGTTTGAAGGGCCACCAAATGCAGGCCCTAATCTGCAATGTGAGGCCAATTATCAGAAATAGGGAAAGCCTGCTTACCTTCTATTGTGTGTGAATGTTGGCAAAGTCCAAAGGTTTGGTTATAGAAATCCTTCAGCTTTACCTGATGACTGAGTAAGTAGCTGAAATCTCCTTTGAGATTCTTAATGCCTTCACAGAAAGACCCATTGGTATTTTCCTGCAATAATAAGGAAATAGGTTGTCATTCCCTTCTTAAAGTTTGTTTGTTTTTGACTTCCAGGTCTATCTCCAGCCCTGCAATTATCTGGTGACTTCCCATCAAGTACAATCTTGCTCAGTTTTTTTTTTTTTGGGCCAACCAAAGGCAACTACTGTAGGCATTGACTGAAATTCAGAGGCCAGGATCATATCTCATAATCCTTAAAAATTTCCTTCAATCTAAGGCAGGTGTCTGCAACCTTGACAACTTTAAGACTTGTGGACTTCAGTTCCCAGAATTCCTCAGCCAGCATAGCTCGTAATTCAAGGACTACCTTTACTGGTTGATTTTTTTTCTGTGTGTCTCAGAACCTGCCTTTAAAATATCACCTTTACCCTAGAAATACATAGCTTTTCCAGCAAATTGTAATAAAAAAATGAGAACCAATTTTTTTATGGGAAAATATTCCCATGACAGCATAATTGAAACTCTAGGTTCATTTGTCAAACTTTCTTAATTGAGGGTCCAGAGGAGGTCACTAAAAGTTCCAGGAAATGTCATTATTAAATAATATATATATATATATATATAAAAACACTGATTTTTTTAAACCGTATACCAGGCAATACTATCACTTGCAGTAGTCAGAGCTTTTTACATGAGACAATTCAGCTTTCTAAACACTGTAAAAATGTGAATTGTGTTGTAAAGTTTTCACATTATTTGGAATTTTTTTTGCAGGGTTTCTCTCAGATCTGAAAATAATTTCAAGGGTTCCCCAGAATAAAAAGGTTCAGAAAGGCTACTTTAGATAATTCTATTTGCAATTAAAATTAATTGGAATTAATCTTATCTGCAATTTGCAATTAAAACCTATCCTACTGTGGCATGTAGAAACTTGGAGAACTTGCCTAATTTTTTTAAACATAAGCATTACAAATCTTGGAGAACAGACCATTTTAAAATTTACCAGTTTGTATGTATAAACTTTGAAGGATAAGGAAGATAACCTTGACAGAATAATGTAAGAACTGTTATCTAGCCAAAAAGGAGCTAGAGTAATTTTTTTTTTAGTCCAGAGCAACAATAGCAATAGCACTTAAGACTTATAAACCACTTCTAGTGTTTTACAGACATCTTTTTACAGACATCTTCCATCCTTCAGAGGCCGGTAAAATGAGGACCCAGATTGTTGGGGGCAATATGCTGATTCTGTAAACTACTCAGGGCGGGCTATAATGCATTGTGAAGGGGTATATATAAGACTAAGTGCTATTGCTATTGCTAGTGGACCTGATAGCATAATGCCTTTTGGTCTCTGATCCAATTTCCAATTTCCTTTATACTGTAAAAGGCCTTCAACTTGAAAAATAGTAGGTACTGCAGCTGCACAAATTGTATTGGTTTATATGACAGTAATTGGTGCCTAAAAGAAAGCTACAAATTAAAATAACAACATTCGGCTGGATACGAAAGTTAAACAAGATGTTAAGTCCTGGAAATGTGTGAAACCTTAAGGATGTGCTTTTAAAAAAGTTGGTTGGTACTTCTGGGATGAAATAACTCCTGCTTTCTTGTGACATTATGCAACTAGCCAAAGAGAATTTGGTAGCACCACATTTTGTGCTATGGATCAATCAATGCTTTACTGGTATGAGGGCAGAGAGGCTCACATCCGCAAATACATGGAACATGCAAAAACATCTGAAACTCTTGAAGGCTGATCTTGCTCATGATAAAATAATCTTAGACAAGATCTATTTGCTATTGTTTTGCTTTCTCTTTTGAAAATAATACTGGCCCAGAATGAAGGTGCATATTGTTGCCTCTATAAAGATGTACCCAAGAGTCAGACTGTCTTTAAATTTTGACAAATTAGGTTTGGTGCAACGGGAGGGAAACAGCAAAGCCTCTTTAGGAAAAGAGTTGGGTCATGTAGGAACAGTCTGTTTTTCAAACGTATCCTTTAGAACAGGCTGCACAGCCCTTTGTGTGCCAAGGATTCCATAGGTGGTTTGCACTGTGTGCCAAGCAACACTTCCCTGACTGAAGCAGGACAAAAATATGATTGCCCACCTTATGCCATATTGGAAGTAACAATTCATATATAGCAATTTTTGGAGAGATTCTGGAACCTGCATCCATGTTTGGGAACAGTGTGTAGACCTGGTCCAAAGGCTGAGCATGCTCTGTTAAGACTTTATTGGGAAGAGTCTATTGTTGGTCTTAGGGCAGCATTTTGAGATTACTGTGTAATTTGGGGGTTGTTCTGGATTCACAGCTATTGCTCCAAGAACAGGTGGCAGCTGTGGCCAAGAGGATCTTTGCCAAGGCTCATCTAGTGCGTCAGCTGTGGCTTTCAGAGATGCTCTGGGCAACTGATGACTGGACTACTGCAATGCAGTCTACATGGTTCACCCTTGAAACCCACCCAGAAGCTACATCTGGTTCAAAAGGCAGCAGTGTGAGCAGTAACAGGTGCTTTTTGGTATGCTATGAGCGGGCAGGCTGCCTGAAACTTGGCCAGCACCTGGTCTGTGGTGCCTTGCCCACTTAAGACCTCACCTTAGCCTGCCCGGTAACAAGAAGCTATAAAAGAGCAGAAAAGTAGCTGGGTGTGGTTGTGGAGTAATTTGTGTGTTGGAGATGTTCAGGAAGTGAGAGGGGCGGTGGTTTCTGTTATTCTGTATTAAGCCACTGGAAGCAGCTTAGGGCTCAGAGACAGTAGTATTATACTACTAGTAGTGTAAGTAGTGGTAGACCTGGGGCAGTGTGTGGGAAGGACCTGTGAGTACTACCCATTGTGTGCTTGTGGGTGGGTTGCCTAAAGGCCAAGGGGGCTTGGCTCTCTGAGGTTTTGGGGTCCCACGGAATTGGGATAAAAGAACCTGTGGCAATTCAGGCTTCTCAATGCAATTCAGGGTGCTGGCTATTACCCACAATCCCCTGCATGGGATTAGGCCTGGGTATCGGAGGCTGCATTTGTCTCCAATTGTGTATTTCACCAGAATGTTCTGCAGATGTGCTCCAGGTCTCCTCTATTAAAAGTCACCTTGTAGCTATGAGGAAGCAGGCCTGTTCTTGTGTAGCTCCCCATCCTATGGAACAGCACCCCCCCCCCCCCAGATATGGACTGCAGCTTCTCTCTAGGGGTTCTGGCAAGCCCTTAAAACCTCATTTTGGTCTGGAGTTAATATTTAGAGGCAGTCCTCAACTTGCAATAGCGCCTCTAGAAGCGGTGAATGCTCCAACGCTGGAAGTTTTTAAGAAGAGACTGGACAGCCATTTGTCTGAAATGGTATAGGGATGCCTGCCTGAGCAGGGGGTTGGACTAGATGACCTCCAAGGTCCTTTTCTTCTTCTTCTTCTTCTTCTTCTTCTTCTTCTTCTTCTTCTTCTTCTTCTTCTTCTTCTTCTTCTTCTTCTTCTTCTTCTTCTTCTTCTTCTTCATCTTCTTCTTCTTCTTCTTACTATTATTATTATTTAGTGATTGCTCAAAATTACAATGGAACTGAAAAAAGTCACTCATGACCATTTTTCACACAGCCATTGCAGCATCCCTATGGTCACATGATCTAAATCTGGATGCTTGGCAATGGACTCATATTTATCACAGCTGTAGTGTGATCATTTTTTGCGACCTTCTGACACAGTCAATGGGGAAGCTAGATTCACTTAACAACCATGTTACTAATTTAACTGTAGTGATTCACTTAACAACTGTGGCAACAAATGTCACAAAATGGGGCAAAGTGCACTTAGCAACAGAAATTTTGGCCTCAATTGTGGTGGTACGTCAAGGATTACCTGTATTTGTAAAAATTATTAGCTGCCCATCTTGCCCCACGGTAACTCTAGGCAGCTTACAATAAATTAGAATATATTTTGCAGAGCCCTATTATGATTTCTTGTTGCCCTTGTGATCACTTTAATCTGGGCAGTCTGTGTGGGTTTTATGTTTTAAATTGTTTTTACTGTTTGGGTTTTTGTCTGCGGCCCAAAGTCCATCAGACATGGGTGGCTATAACCAATTTAAATAATCACTGAGTAAATAGTCAGGAATCTGAATAGCACCCTGAAACGATTAGGGAAGCTCATGCAAATGAGGGAAAAATCAATGGGATTACCAACCTAGTCTTACTGGCTGAAAATTGGCAACAACAGAAGTTTCCAAGTTGTTTTCCGGATAAAACAAAGTGATTACTGTTATCCAATTAAATGCACTGGTCTTATTTTCTGCTTAGTATTTGAGCAGGGCAGATAACTCAGTTTATTCTTGCAATTTAGTTTCACATACAGGTAGTCCTTAACTTATGGCCAGCCACTTAGCAACCATTTAAAGTTACAATGGTCTCCTCCCCAATGTACTTATGACATAGTTCCAAAGTTCTAATGGCTGCCCGGCCCCAGGGTGACATAATTTGCATTTTGGCTGCTTGGCAACCGGCTCTCATATATGGCATCCTCCAATCCACGTCACCTTAATTTACAATGTTTTTGCTAAAAACCAGCATTTATTTCCAAATTTTCAGCAAAAACATACCATGGCAAAATGCCTATGGAGATTGTCGATCATCCAGGTCATAGTTATACCAAAGATGCTTTTTCACGAGGAAACTGGGCTTTCTTGTTTTTCTTTGAAGACATTTCACTTCTCATCCAAGAATGGAAGGATTTATATTCCTTGCAGACGGCTGGTCATTTGCATTCTTTCAGACCAGTGGTTCTCAACCTGTGGGTCGGGACCCCATTTGGGGTCGAACGACCATTTCACGGGGGTCGCCAAACAACGCAGTCCGCCATTTTTTCCCCCCTTTTCCTTAGCTGTGCTACTCTCTTTTATTCTATTGGCTTTTGAAAGCCAATAGAATAGACTCTATTGAATAGAGTCTAATTCTATTGGCTTTCAAAAGCCAATAGGAATTGTCCAGGCTGTCTCTGCCCTGCTGAGCCTGCCAAAAGTCCCATTCTGCAAACGGTGCTGCACCAGTTGAGTAGTCCTTGACTTACGACCGGTTGAGTAGTCCTCGACTTATGACCGGTTGGGGGGGGGGTCGCGGCATTAAAAAGTTTGAGAACCACTGTTTTAGACCTTAAGTGTCAAACTGCCAGCCATGGACCGGACACGTCACACAGAAGCTGCGGCCATCCCATTGCCGGCAATGGCAAATCTGTTCCGATATGTTGCACGACGTCACATGACGTCACGAGTTTGACATGTGTTTTAGAGAGGCCACCTGGAGGTTTATCTGTGTCCTCAGGGTCACCTGAGTAGTGCAGATGGGTGTGGAGCCTTCTTGGAACTGCTGAAAGGACTGTGTTATAGACTGGAGATAGATGATGTCGGATCCCTCCCCCTCTGTTGAAACTGTTCAATTTTGACATAGAGGGTTTTTTTGACCCCTCTTTCAAATCAGCGATCTTCTCTGTCCAAAATGTGGACGTATAACTGGCAGGCTGCATTATGGTCGTTTTAAGTCAAGGATTACTTGTATGGAGGTTGAACTATGGGGGATTTCTCTGGTGTACAGGAACTATGCCCAGCTTTGCTTTTTAGGTTTTTTGCTATCTCTCATGGCTGATTTATGTCATAGAAAGATTCTAGCCCAGGAACAACTCAAGAACTTAAAAAGTTGACTTTTTTCCAGCCAGCTATAGTTAGTCTTCGACTTACAACCCCAACTGAGCCCAAAATTTCTATTGCTAACTAAGACACTAAGCTGTGGAGTTGTGCCCCATTTTACCTTTTTGACAGTTGTTAAGCCAATCACTGCAGTTGTTAAGTGAATCACGCCATCGTTAAGCGAAGCTGGCTTCCCCCACTGACTCTGCTTGCCGGAAACCAGCTGGCAAGTTACCAATGCTGATCACATGACCCCGAGACTGTGCAACTGCCATAAATACATGCCAGTTGCCAAGCGCCCAAATTTTGATCATGTGACCGTAGATGCTGCAATGGTCGTTAAGTGTGAAAACTGGTCAGTCACTTTTTTCAGTGGCATTGTAACTTTGAACAGTCACTAAATGAATGGCTTAACATCAAGGTCTACCTGTACCACAACTCCTTTCAAGCAGCTCTTCTAACAGTTGCATCAGCAACCAAGAGTACAGAGAAGAGCAACAAAGATGATTAGGAGACTGGAGGCTAAAATATATAAGGAACGGTTGCTGGAATTGGGTATGTCTAGTTTAATGGAGAGAAGGAGGAGGGGGGACATGATAGCAGAATTCCAATACCTCAGGAGCTGCCACAAAGAAGAGGGAGTCAAGCTATTCTCCAAATAAGGCAGGACAAGAAGCAACAGATGGAAACTAATCAAGGAGAGAAGCAACCTAGAACTAAGGAGAAACTTCCTGACAGTTACAACAATTAACCAGTGGAACAACCTGCCTCCAGAAGTGGTGAATGCTCCAACACTGGAAGTTTTTAAGAAGAGGCTGGACAGTCATTTGTCTGAAATGGTATAAGGTTTCCTGCCTGAGGAGGGGGTTGAACTAGATGACCTCCAAGGTCCCTTCCAACTTTATTATTATTATTACTAATATTACTAATATTATGATGATGATGATGATGATGATGTACCACTAATAGCTGGCACCCTCTTATTTTTTCTCTCATATTAACTGAACAGGAAGAAGTGGTTGGAATCTCCTATTAAAAACTTAAACTTGAAACCTGACAAACCTGTAGTTGAAGCCTAGGAACTGCGGGGTTTTAAATGCTACTGCCAGTCTACTGACACAGTTTTAAAATAGGTTATTTAACATGAAAAACTAATACACCCAGGTTGTCCTGATCTAGTTTAGGAAAGGCTCAGGAAAAAAAAAAACCTGGTTGATTCTAGTGCAGGGAAACGAGAAGGCAAAATAAAACAAAAGCAACCTGCAAACATCCAGTCTCTTCAAGGATGGAATTGTAGCAAAAGTTGATTATTCCCACCCTTCTTCGTCCAGGCAGTTCAGAGCCATTTTGAAGGAATGCTGGGTCCCAGGTATGCCATATCCCAGGCTGGCTCTGGGATTCTTGTCCAAACTTCTGGAGTCACAGGAATGCTGATCTTGTATACAGGGAGTCCTCAACTTAAGACCATAACTGAGCCTCAAATTTATGTTGCTAAATGAGAAATTTGTTCAGTGCATTTTACCGTTTTACGACCTTTCTCGCCATAGTTGTTAAGTGAATCATTGCAATTAAGTTAATAACACAGTTGTTAAGTGAATCTGGTTTGCTTGTCAGGTTGCAAAAGGGGATCACATGATCCCTGGACCACGGAACCAGTCAGTTGCCAAGCAGCTGAGTTTTGATCACGTGACCAGAAAGATGCTGCAACAGTCTTAAGGGTGAAAAATGATCGTAAGTCCCCTGTTGCAGTGGTGATGTGGTAACGTTGAACGGCCACAAAATTTAGCATTGTTAAGTTGAGGATTACCTGCACTCCAAGTTTCCAAGCGGTGGGCTGGAAAAAACGTCGAAAGAGGAGGGAACGGCTCCAAGGTGATCCGAGATTTCTGTTTAGACGGAATTGGATTCGAATCCAAAACACGCCAGCGCTAGAACCTGCTGGGAAGCCCGAGCAGCCCCTTCGTGGCTGGGACGCTTCTAGGCGTTCTCCGGGAAACGCCTCCACCCCAGGTCGGTCCTCGGGATAGCGTCCGGCCCTCACCCCACTAACTCCGGTTCGGCCGGGCGAGCGCCCCGAAGGCAGGACGCCTCGCCCTTCCGCCCCGCCCCTCCTTCCCCGCCCCTCCCCTAACCCACCCCCTCGCTGCCCCGGGTACCTTCGCGAGTCTCCGCCGAGCTCTTCGAGGGGGGTAACGCCGCTCCGGGCGCCCTCTTTCACCTACTTCTTTTCCCCCCCCACCACCACCACTCCTGTCCCGGGGCGTGGTGTGTGTGTGTGCCGCGCGCGCGTGTGTGTTTGTGTGTGTGTGTGTGTGTGTGTGTGTGTGTGTGTGTGCCCGTGCGCTCAAATCACATGGTGTTTTAAGAAATGCTCCAAAGATGGCGGTAGCGGCGGCCGGAGGCGGCGGCCGGCTGCAGCGGAGCGGCGCGCTGGAAGTTTTGGTGCGCGACCGGTGGCACCGGGTGCTGGTGACCCTGGGCGGCGAGGCGCTGGTGCTGAGCTGCGAGGAGGGCGGAGGCGCCGCCGCTTACAACGGCATCGGGGCAGCAGCGGCGGGCAATGGAACTTTCTGCGGCAGAGGCGCCGGCGGTGGGGCGTCGAGGGCGAACGCCGCCGCCGTCGCTTGCCCCTTGCCCGGAGCGGGCTCGCCCGAGTCGCCGTCGGGGAGTAGTTACAACGGCGGCGGCGGGAGCCCCGCGGCGGCGGCGGCGATCGGGGTTCGGACGGCACTGACCGACTTGCCCGAGCAAGTGCCCGAAGCCGTCTCCAACCAGAAGCGGTGCGTCAAGGTGCTGAAGCAGGAGATGGGCGGCTTGGGCATCAGCATCAAGGGGGGCAAGGAGAACAAGATGCCCATCCTCATCAGCAAGATCTTCAAGGGCTTGGCGGCCGACCAGACCCAGGCGCTCTACGTCGGCGATGCCATCCTGACCGTCAACGGCGCCGACTTGCGCGATGCCACCCACGACGAAGCCGTGCAGGCGCTCAAGAGGGCGGGCAAGGAGGTCGTGCTGGAAGGTAAGGGGACCCCTCCTTCCTAAAAAAAAATACCCCAACGCCCCGGGGCTTTGCCTGCCCCTGTAGCGCTCTGCACATGCCCTGAGGCGTTCTCCTCTCCTGGTTGAGTTTGCAGAGGCGTGTTAACGTGAGAATGCGTTATACTCTTAACCTGGGCGGCGGGGGGGGAGGCGAGAGATGTGGGAACGCGTGCGTGTGCCGCTTGGGTGCAGTTCGCGCGAAGGAACGGCATTCCAAGGTTATGACGCCACGTGTTGCTGGACGCTCGCTTGTCCTGCGCTTCCCGACACGTGCGCCCGTGCGGGGTTCCTTGTGGGAACCGACGCTTGTTCCAGCATGCGGGGCCGATCTAGACACGGGATGTGCATGTAGTATGTGTGGAGTGGGGGGGTCTTCCTCCTATATACAGTATATCAATTTAGTTCATGAGGCTTCCCACGCACACGGAGTTCTGGAACCGCCGCATCCAAGAAAGCGTGTATCGAATTGAAACGTAAAGCAGGATCCTTTTGAATAAATGCTTGGGAGTTGAGCTTTCCTCCTGAAACCGCGTCGTCTGCGTTCACACAACCCCGGCAGCTGTATTTGCCCAACCCTATGGAGATTTCACTAGTTTTAACTTTTAATATTTCTGAAGTCAGACTAGGTTGTCTTTGGAGTCGTGCCCTGGGAGAATCCGGGAACCAGTTCGAGCATGTTAGGCGATTATAGCCTTTCGGAATAAGTACTTCGGTTTAATGAGCAGAAGCAGCTTTCAAGCTATGAGTAACAACCTCAAAACCAGCCGTGGTGAAAAAGTGAAACAACACCGCTGCCTTCCCCCCTCCAAACCTTTACAAGCGGTTGCTCCTTACCGAGTTGCTTTGAGTTCTCTCTCTCTCTCTTTTTTTTTTTTTTTGCAATTGGAGTTGCTTTAAGTTCCATTTTTTCAATGGTTGAGGAGAGTTATAGTCACTTCATCTGGCTAAAATTAAAGAGAGGCAGTGGTAAAATCTTGCAGTATGAGGTACAGGCTGTCGTAGAATCATAGGCTAACAAATCCCCTTTTACCCTAGGCTCTTGTGCAGACTCCGGCCAGGTTATTGTTTAGAAAATTTAATAAAATATGGTTTGTTACCAATGAGGAAATGGAGTCCATGTGTGTCAGGTTATGAATCTGTCACAGCTGAAAAAGGCAAACAGCTGGGCAAATAGCTTTTCTGCTGTTCCTTTGGCAGGCATAAGGGCCTCTAGCAGTCTTTTGCAAGCCAATCTGGAAAAACAGGATCAGGGGCTTTCTGATGATAAAAAAAGATTTATTTATTTATTTTTTTAAAAAATCACATTGAAGAAATAATTAGGTGTGTATGTGTTTTGAGAAATTCCTTCCCTTGTTATTTTTTAGGACACTGAGAACTTCTGGGTTGTACAGCAGGAGTGATACCATTTCTTCAGCTACTATAATCTTGCCATTTAATCTCCCCCCCCCCAGGTTAGATGAAGGCTCTCTTTTAAAAGATGTGCTGATAAATCTGATGGGCAGACTTTTTAAATTTTAATTCTCTTCCTTTCTGACAGGACATTTAAGAGAATTTAATTCTCTTCCTTTCTGACAGAATTAAGCTGTATGAAAGGTGCAAGGTTTTTTCCTATGATTGTGCTATGGTGATCCTATGCTTATTGTGGCTGAACGCGTGGAAATCAATACTTGTACTCGTTTATTTGATAGTGAGATCCTTGCCACTTGCTTTTTCTAAACAAGTTAGACTTTTTGCACTGTTTATGATGTTGTGGAAGAGAGAATTCCAACAGTCCTACTTCGCAGAACGAGTGCTAAACTAAATTAGTGTGTGGCATGAAATACCGTTTCAAGCATTATCAAACTTAGGGGAGGCATGGGCAAACACTTAATCTATGTGGGTGAGCTCTTGGGAAAAGAGACTGCAAAAAGACCCCCAGTATGGGCTAGTGATTAAATTGTTTGGCATAGAGAAAATCGGGATTTCCCCATAGCCATGGAATTGTGGTTGGTGATTTGGGTTAGTTACTGTTTCTCAGCACAATCTATTTCACAGGATTATTTGGGGGGGGGAGGGGAAATAGAAGGAAACGCTATGTTATCTTGAGTTCCTGATCATAAATAAAAGTGGGATATAAAGACCACAAATTAAGTGGGTATGACCACATCATACATGAGATTTGATGGGGTTTTTCTTTGTTCTGGGGTATACCTGTTTTAGTTCTTATATGACAATTCTCATCTGTTTCTCAACTCAGAATTAAAGTCAGGAGTCATTTGAAAAGTCACTTCTGGCATAACAGACTTCCAGGTCTTTAAAATACACAAAACTCATTGTCATTTTCCAAGTAAGAACCTGTAAAATTATATCCTTCCGGTATAATACTATGGATCTGTCTTTAGAAGCACACTCTAATACATTTAGTAGGATAATCCCACATATGTATAAGAGTGCTGAAGTAAAATCTCTTAAAAGGGGAAGGCTTTCATCCCATAGATTCTAAGATCCTGAACTGATAATGGAAGAAACGAAAGCTTAATTAACCCAAGGAAGCACCTATCATGCCACAGAATCAAAGAGATTACATTATGCAATTCTGACTTTAAAAGTTGGATGGAGGTGAATGACAAGATTGCCATGGAAAATAATCATGCTATTTAAACTGCAGAAGTCTGTGCATTAAACAAAGATTAGTGCTAGAACACTGTCTGAGGCCCAGTTCTGAGGAAATTATGGCTTTGTCTGTCACCCACAGCTTGGTGTCTTCTGGATGTGCTGTCTTTTAAATTCTATAATTCCCAGCCAGAATGCATTGCATAGGATTGTTGCAAAAAATTGTCTAGTCTATCACAACAGATGGATAGGTACTGAAGTTTTTGGTGGAAATAATCACAAGGATAATTCCCCCCCCCCCTCCGAACCTGAGGACTGTAAACCACATTTTTAAAAGATTTTGAACTTTTTGGGGGAGAGGGAGGCAACAATTACTTGAAAATCTTCTACTGTTCTTCTCATTGTCTGTCAAAGCAAATTACAAGTGCAGGCCTTTAAAAAATTGGAAATTGTAAAACTAAACATCCATGCTATGTTTGTAGAGGACAAAAATGCCTCTACATTTTCATCTGAGCAATTGTTGTCAAATAAAGTGGCATTGGAATTGTCAGCTTGGGGTCATGATCTAAGGGTTACAAGTTCAAATTGTTGACATATGTGAAGAAAGCTAAGAATACACCACACACAATTTTTAATCACTTCTTTTTTGTAAAGGATTTGTTCAAATACATGCCACTACTTATCTTTCATACTTTCAAAACTTAAAAGCAAACTGGAACAGAAAAATGTTCCAAAAGTTACAAGGACACAAAACAATTTTCCTTTGCATGGCTGTTGTGTATTGCTTTTCTTAAGAAGAACATAGAGGCACAAAAATACCAAACATATAATTTATACAAATAACAAAGAAGTGTTGACAGGGTCTTAATCCATTATGGGTCCAAATTACATAACACATACCATATTCCTTATTTATGCTAGTTATTGACTAATATACAGTTTGAGTAGTTGCAGTTTGAGTAGGGAGAGTGTTCTTGAACAAACCTGAGTTTGAAAAATGAGTCGAGGACTATCTGTATTGTCTACAAACTTAATCCTTTCTCAAAATTTACGAATCTTAGGAATGACATTGTACTATCTTGGGTGCCACTTCATCATATAAATAAATTGTCCCTGTTGTTGTTTCTACTTAAACAGAGGTTTGATATGCAGAGATCTGCAAATAAACATACCAAGTCAAAAAGGAACCTGCCTACCTATACAGATTTGGTAGGAGACAGAGCACTCAGGGAGTAAGAAGCTGACAATTCCGATGCCACTTTATTTGACAACAATTGCTCAGATGAAAAGTTAATGTGAGTTGGAAGGTTGTACCTAAATACGACTTTTTCACCTGCAAAATCACTAAGATGATTGATATAAATAGGGATAAACAGTATTAGAGTGTAAAATTGGCCAGATCCAAGTTAAGTTCCTCAGTCTGACACCCTGGCTCCTTTGATTTACTGTCTTCAGTAGTAATTGAGACAGATAATTAGAAAGTTCAACAAGAATGTGTTTATTGCTCTAATATAGATAAAGTTTATAATGAAAGGGATAGCATTCTATTTGCATATGGGGTTGGATCCTCCCTTGTCTTATTCTTTCATTCGTAACTGAGATCTGGAGTAATAACTTGGATTGGCACAAAATCACAAATCAAACATACAAGGTGAATTTTAATGGAAGCATGCAATACATTTTGAAGTGGTTGGTTCTTCTTGAATTCTGCTTTCTCTGCTTTTTGAAGGCCAAGTAATGAGCAGTTGTAAAATGTAGATGTTTGAAGGTTCAGCTTTATTTCAAGAGTTAGGCCTTCTACAAGCTAGCATTTTTTACCTGTGTTGGACAGTGAAAGCTATTCTACTTATAACATAGTCCAGTGAATTTTGAGGGGTTGCCACACAGAAGAGGGGGGGGGGGTCAATCTATTTTCCAAAGCACCAGAAGGCAAGACAAGAAACAAGGGATGGAAACTAATCAAGGAGAGAAGCAACCTACAACTAAGGAGAAATTTCCTAACCGTGAGAATAATTAACCAGTGGAACAGCTGTGGGTGCTCTCTTTTAAGAAGAGACTTGGGCAGCCATTTATCTAGAAGGGTAGATAGTCTCCTGCTTGTGCAGGGTATTGGACTAGATAGAAGACCTCCAAGGTCCCTTCCAATTCCGTTATTCTGTTGATGACTTGAAAGGAGATTAGACAAAGCAAGTAATTACATGAGAATCTGAAGAAATTCACTTTCATTCCAATAAAGTCAAGAGAGATTGAAAACTACTTTCTCTAGAGAAATCAGGCAGATTATTACACCATCTCTACAAGACCACATTATTATCATTCCAAGAAGCCCTTTTTCATTTTTCAATGTTTATGTTTTGTATTTTTTCACATCACAGATTTTTGAGTGCC